GGCCTCCCGGCCTCGCAAACAGGTCGGGCCTTATGAATTTTGGGGCCCAATTCAATGGATACTTTCGAGGCCACCTCTTCTAATTTTTGAAATCTTTTTTTTTTATTTTGTCTTTGTTGTTTTTGTTTAATAATCTTCTCTCTAGACTGCCTGTTGTTGTTTTTTGTTGTTGTTGTTGTTGTTGTTGTTGTTGTTTTTTGGGGGGAGTGTATTTTTGTTCCCCTTTCATCCTTACCTCCCCATTACCCAGTTGATTTTGGCTACATCAGCTCTGTTGTGCCTTCATTGGCCAATTTATATGCCGTTTCGTTTCATTCAATTATTAATAACTGCCCAACAGTATTGATTCAAAGTTCACACTAGAGTGTTCTAAAATTGATGTGATCTAATTTTAGATTAATTTTAAACTCAGTTGTTGTTTTTTAAATAATTTTTAAAAAACTTCGTCTCCGAAATAATTTATTGTTATTGTAAATTTTTTTTTTTTTTTTTAATTTTTGGAACCAAATATTCGGTGAAAATCTGCCAAAGACCAAAAAATAAAAGTGCCTCGGTAGCACTCAGAGTTTGCCTCAGATTACAGGACAGATTTAAGCTAATGCCAGTAATAGGTTTTATTTTCTGCCAGGCCGTAACAGGCGACCTAGAATTATCTACACGTTATAAAATCTCCGTGTGTTTGTGTGTGTATGTGTCTTTTCGTTTTATGTTATAGCGACGGACATGTTTTTACTATTGATTAACGCCGAACTGAATTATGAAAATGGGGGAGAGATGCGGGTGGCTAGGTTCGTATCTATGGCTTAGTATTTTAACAGTCAATAATGGTAGGGAACTAACTAGAGGCGGCTCGGGTGACTAATTGATGTGGTGTTGGGGCTTAGAAAGCGACAGAAATGCTGTAGTAGATCTATCCATGTGACTTGGGAAGGGGGGTGGGGTTGACGGGCGACTAAAATAAACGTGAATGTGATTTTATTTACCAAGTAATTCTAGTCTAAGACAAGTGTATGTTTTATTCTATTGAAATATAATATAGATCATAAGTAATGTAAGTATATGTAGGCCTATTCTTTTTTTAAACTTTTACAGAATTAAGAGATGAACAGGAAACTAGTAATTCAGACAATATTGCAATTGTATTAGCTGTTATGTTTATTTTGACAAAGCTTATACCAGCTCACTCTGTCTGTCTGGTTAAAAGTTTGTACACGTTATTTCTACTGTTAATGAATTATTTAGTATACCTAATTAAAAAAACATGAATCTATCAAAAATGTACCCATTAGTCATTTAATTATTTATAATTGATTATACTGATTGATATCGAATAAGAGAAATAAAGGCTACACTATTGAGAGATATAATTGTAAGTGCGGAGTTCTTTCCCTTAGATAAGCTTTGGTTTTGTTTGGGTTTTTTTTCTTAAAGGATTTTTATTTTATTTTCCTTCTTAAAATTATTTGAATGGAAAAATTCAGTGCAATGAAAGTATCTTCAATAGGTGAGGTATTCGGCCAACATATTTTAGCATAATATTATTTAACATTGGTGTACTTGTAATAAATACTTCCCATGGTATGACTCTCAAACAGCCTTGGACAACTTAAACTCCAGCTGCTTGGCTTCACCTTAAAGTCAATGTTAGTCAATAATTTATAATCACAAAGAGGAGTGGCTCAACCAATGGGCATCAGGAAACACAGGCAAAGCCATGTTCAAAGAAATTACTATGCCTAACCAACTAAACAGTATTAACTTCCTCCCCCGCAAAGAACAATCTACAATTTTCCAACTAAGAACAGGACAAACACCACTATTAAATTACCACCTGAACAAAATAAATCCAACAAACCTACCCCTTATGAAACCGTCAACCATGTTCCTCTTTGAATGCCCCTTCCTAATCCACCTTAGGCAGACCCTACTACCATCCAGCCCAACATAACCAACACCCTGTACGGCAGTGCTGAACAACTGAAGAAAACAGCACACTATTTTTCCTTGGCACAGTCTGCAAAAGAGGTCACAGCTCAACAGCAATAAAGCTGGCTAGAAGAAGAAGAAGAATGGCAGAAGATGACTTAGACTTAGAATGGATTTATTTGTAGCCCCGAGTAGTGCAACATCATCAGCAAAGTCCAAGTCCGTCAATCGGAGCTGTTCATGCCATGGAATACCAAAGGCAGTCTGGTTCATTGCTCTCCTCATTATGTAGTCGATGGCTAGGAGGAAAAGGAAGGGAGATAAGATGCACCCCTGTTAGAAGAAGAAGCTGACAAGGTGAGTAAGTGGCGTCTAAACCAGTAAGAAGAGGAATTTGGCTCGTTAACCTTGGTTGACTACCCATCTATAAGAAGGAAAACATAATTCAAACCTCTGTTGCCTTGCATCTATACCCAAACACGAACAGGAATTCGGGAGTCACCCCTTAAGACAAAACAAAAAGAAGCCGGCGACCTTTAGGCAGCTTGATGCACACAGTGCTACACCTTGGCAAAGCCTTTGATGCAACTGATCTCAAACTGTATCGGCGCTTGCCGTTCTTTTGGATAGAATAGATCAGCTGCAAGGGAGGGGGCAATGCTGTGAGGGCGACATCGTACGGACCACAGCTAATGACCAGGGATTTATTTTATTTCTATGAGATGACCCATAGTCGCTTTGCAACTAAAGGAGGCTATAGTATAATTTGTACCGGTAATAGATTATATTTTATCATCTGACCACCAGCCGATGTCAAGGTGAGGGCAAGACGTACGTGTTTTAATGGAGAAAAAAAATGTTGGACACGTGTAACAGTGGAATTCAAGTCCGTTTAAAAAAAAATAGAAAAAAAAAAAGATTACTTTAAAAAACAAATCTAAAGGAAAGAACCGCTAATTACTGCAATGTATCTGAAAATGGCAGGGTTTAGCTACCTTTCTATTATTTAAAAAAAAAAAAAAAAAAATTAAATAGTACTAATTGATTATTTACTTGGTTAATTTTTGGATTGATTCGTGAATTGCCCTCGACAATGAATAATTAATCAAAATTTCAACTTGATCTGAGAATGGGAATTGGGAGAGAAAAAACAAAACCTTTACAGCGTCTCAAACTTTGTAGATTTTCCTTGGCACTATCTGGCATAATGTTAACGTTGAAAGAATGGTTACGATTTACGATGATAAAGCACAGAGGAATTTTTTTTTTTAAACAAAGTATATTGTAAGGAAAATTCGCCTAGTATCCCATACAGATATGTGCGCCTAAGATAAGTTACTGTGAGAAACACTTCGTCTGAGAAATAGGATAAGAAATATTTTAACTGTTCAATCTTTGGATTTGCTTAATTGTTTCATCAAATTTATTGTAAGTTTACTTTTTATATTTTAATTTATTTATTTTTTTGTTCTCCTCAACCCTTTTTTTTTTAAATTATAGCATGCTCAGAGCGCTATGGTACAATCTCTTTGTGGACCAGTGCGAGAAGGGGGTATCTTTGAGAAGCTTTCCTTCCTGTCTTTAAGGCGCTCAGCAAAAAAAAAACTGTAGTGCTTGAGTCGGGATTTGAACTCTAGCCCCCTTGATAGGCAGCCAAGCGGTCTGTGCCACACATTGTTTTTGTTATCCTCCGGCCACGCAAGAGTCTGGTAACCCCTTTATATGGCAACCCCCACCTTGAAATCTGAGAACTGTTTTACACAAATAAAAATCGCAAACGGAAGAGACAGGATTCACCGACTGGACACCGAGATGAACTGCAAACTGCTGTCAAAAAACGCCAACTAAAAATTTATGGCCATATCACAAGGTTCTCAGGGCTCGCAAAAACCTTCCTTTAGGGAAAAGTACCAAACTAAAAAGGAGGCAGACAGAGGATGATAACAGTAAACAAGAAAAACGTAAAGAATACATTAACCAAAAAACAAAAGATTATACGAAGTGTAATTGTATCAATTAGTCTGGATCAGTCGTGTAATTAAAGGACTAATAGACCTAAGCCAACAACAATAAATCTGTGCGATTTTACCAATTGTTTTTTTAGCACTACTTCATGCTTTAAGCTTTTCAATGCGCTATGATCCTATCACTGGATCAGTTGGGAAAATGGGTGGGGGGAGGAGAAAGGAATGTCTGGTCAAATTTGACCGTAATCGGTTTTTTTAGAGAAAAAAAAGGGGAGACGACCTGAATTCTAAATGAGGGCTCACGCCTCCTCAAGCCGACGCACTAACCACTCTGCTAGTGCTTATGACTATAGATGTATATGCAGAGGTCATTGATTATTTTTAGAGAAAATAGAAATAAAATGATTCTTGAACACCAAAAATGCCACAAAGATTTAGTCAATCACGTGCTGTATATATCAAAGTGAAATTGCTCCAGCAATAACCGCGTCGCAAAAAAAAAAAAAAAAAAAAAAAAAAAAAGCCTTACATTAGCCTATTTGAGTCACTGATAAATAAAATTGGGTCTAACTGTCTATCGGCCAAGCCTATATAAGTCTTTCTAAATAGTCAATACAAAACACCTGTTGATTACGACTTCAGCTTATCGACATTGGGAACACTTCAGCTCAGCAGACGTCAAGTGCTTGTTCCGTATGCTTACGTTTGATTTGTATCTAAACTTTTCTTGGGCCAGTGCGGCACTTCAAATGACAGTTTCAATGGCTACCTTGCGTCATTTGCATAGTTCGAGGTACTTCTACTTTATCATTTGCTTTCACTCGGCTGCGGCTACTATTCTTAAACACTTTAAGGGCAACAATGGAAACCTGAACATAAAAAAAGGAATTCAAGGCATATAATAAATTCTAGGGCTCCGTTATTCGTTGCATTTATGACGATTTAGTGGGAAAAAAACAACATATTCGCATGTTCTAAAAGACTTTGTCAAAAAGGATCTACGTTGAGGTGGAGGTAGGAGGACAAGAAATAATAATTGATTCAAACCAAGCCTATCGTGTATACGCTATAAGTTATATTGTTTTCGACATTTATTTTAAGTACCAAGTTTGTTTGTTGTTGTTTTTTTTTTTTTTTGTTGAGGGGGGGGGGGGGTAATTAATAGATAGAAATGATATTGCTGTAGTCACGGGTGAGGGGTGAAAGTCTGTATGTGCGAATGTATAATTCGATTTTACTTTGTATAGCAATGTTTCTGATACTGTGGGGCGGCCGCCCGAGTGGAACGCGAAGGTTTTGTTTGTTTTAAACCACAAAAAAAAAAATGTTTTATTTCCATTGTATTTCTAAATCCAAATATGTGTGTCAATCTCGTAAAAAAAAAACAACAACACATTATTCACAATGTTACAAAAGTATTGGCAGAGACGTGGTTTTAACTTTTATACTATTTTCGTGAAAGGCATCTACATTTACATCAAGATGAATTCACCACTTTCTTTTGAAGAATTCACTTTAATGCATTCACTCAGTTTTCTTTCTTCAAAAAAGTCAAATATCTCCCAACTGGTATACCGTCGTTTTCTAGACTTCTTTTTCGGATGAACCAAGCAGGCTCACTACAAGACGTCTCTCAGAATACTGGGCTGACATAAAGACCATCAAGCCCATTTCAAATGTACATGCTCTACTCCCTGGCCGGTCCCACCTGATCTTAAGTTAACTTTTTATTTGACCTGCGCTCTTCTTATAAGAAATAATTGTGCGTCGTTCATGATAGGATGATGGTTTTATGAAGTTTATATTGCAGGGAAACTTTTTAACCTAACTTTAACTCTGCTAGGGAAGCTTACATCACTTCCCAGACACCATAACCTCCTAAGCGGGAGAGGGGGGTAGTGTGAACGTAATTTTGGAGGGGGGGGGGGGGGAGTCTAGAAAAGGGGCGATAATGGTAAAGGTTTGAGAAACACTGTGTAGGTTAGTCGGAATGAATGAGAGGATGACGGGAAGTGTGACGGATGTAACGTTGCGGTAGATTAAAATAAGTAGGACAAGGACGGTGTTCTTTTCGTTCTTATCAACTGCAGTTCTAGTGGTCAGCCGCAACCCTCGTGGTCAGCCGCAACCCTAGTGGTCAGCCGCCACCCTAGTGGGCAGCCGCCACCCTTGTTGTTAGCCGCAACCCTCGTGGTCAGCCGCAACCCTCGTGGTCAGCCGCCACCCTAGTGGGCAGCCGCCACCCTTGTTGTTAGCCGCAACCCTAGTGGTCAGCCGCAGCCTTAGTGGTCAGCCGCAATCCTAGTGGTCAGCCGCAACCCTAGTGGTCAACCTCAGCCCTAGTTAACATTGTCAGCCGCAGAGTTAGTCGTTGAGATGCCCCAAAAAGTCACTGACCGAAAACAAGCCAATAGAAGAAAGTCTATCAGGTGGGACAGGAGAGCTCTCTGGTCTGGAAACTACAGCGCAGTTCATCGCTGATATTGGACCCTCCAACATAAAAATGAGGACACAGTTATATAAATGAAATAAATTAGTGTTACGTTGCGACTTGGTTGATTGGGTGGTAGTTATAATAAATTTTACCATAAATACATAAATATTTAGAAATTAATAAAGCACAGAACAAATCCAAGAATAGAAATACTAAGCACTTTAATTAATAATCCAACGAGAATGATCGCATCAGTTAAAATCACAACCCTAAAATCTTTTTAACTAGTAATAGGCCTATAAGATCAACCTTTAAAAAAAAAACTTCGATAGTCTACTTGTTTTCAGTAAACTCTGTTTACACGAGAACTATTAAAATCTAGATTCACCTCGAAGCTTCTATTTTTACCAGTGATTCCCTAAGTGGTCTAAATAGACCCCCAGGAGTCTACGAAATTGAAAAAGTAAATTGGGGGTCTATAAAATGGGCGCGGGGATCTACGATAATGAATCTCATTTCAGCAGGTCGTGACTTAAATTTTGATATCCCGTTAGTGGAATCATTTTATACACGCATTTATGATTTGTACTTTACTAAATGCTCGATTGAAAAATCGTAGTATTTAATTTTATACCTCTATTTAAATAACTTAATTTTGTCTAGTTGTAACTTAAACAAAAAGAAATGTAGTATTTAGTGTTTTACTTATTTTAGTGTTTAGTATTTGAAATTGGATTTCATTCCTTCCTTGTCAAACAAACCACTTTTTATGTGCCTTTTAATGACGCTATGAAACCAATTAAGCTGGAGGATCATTTGAGACGATGCCACCCTGATAAAAAACATAAAGGTTTAAAAAACTCTCAAACACTTAAAGTTCAGAGTAGACCCACAAAATCTCGATCGACATCATATAGTAAGATTAATTATAACAATAAAAGCTTCTTCTTCTTCGTACTTGTTTTGAAGGACATGGTCAACATTCTCTAATGGCACTTCACAAGGGCGAATTTCACTGGTCCCAATTTTCAGCCTCAGGAACATATGTTGTCTCATTCTGTTGTGTCTGGATCTTATGTGAAAAATTAGACGTCGGTCGTATTTGGATAGTTTATAATTGGCGTCGTCCTTCTTGTAAATCGGATGATAGTTTGTCCATTTCTCGATTTTTCTATTTACTATTAGTTTCTATATTTGTATTTGTTCTCCCACACTGTGTCAACCTTCTCATTTCCTTCTATTTCAATATGTGCTGGTATCCATTGGAGAACAGTTTTCTTGCTGTTGTTGTTGAGCTTTGTAAGAATCATTTCACATTGGAGGAAATAGTTTTCAAGCATTGTGGCGTACTTCGGTGATTTGCTAGCGTGGTAGCTGCTAGTTCCGGTGCTTCCCTTTCCGCTCTGTGGCTATCAGACATCTCATCATCGGCGATGGACTTAATTTATTTATTAATTACTCTCCATTTAGCCATTCGTTGAGTTTTCCAGCTCCTCCGTGTGTGGTGGCTTCTTGAGATCAACTCTGACCCAATGGTTGTTAGGGTAATGAATCTGTAGAAGAGAGTTCACTCATTTCTTGACCTCTGTAAGATTGTAGTCAAGATTGTCTTTTTTCTTATGTATTTTCTTTGCAAACAACATATTTCTCTAAATGACATTTCTCTATACATCTGGCTGAGTCAATCTTATATGGTAATGGGATATTTTTATTGGCATATGTTGGATTTATTATAGATATAAAAACAAATCCACAAAATAAGAAATATGTTCTTTGCGAAAACTTTTACAATGATACTTAAGACAATATTTAACGTTTGGAAGGACTTCTTCATAGAACAACAAATCCTTAAATAAAACATAATCTCCGTAGCAATGAATGATGAGCATGCAAACCTTTTAAAACAAACCGTTTCCAGTGTGTTTGATAATTGTATGATATGCGTAGTAACAATTATTTTGGTTTAAATATGAATTTTGTTAATAAAAAGATATAACCTAAAATGTAGCTTTGAATTACTTTTTTTTACTATTCGACTCACTGATTATAAATAAGTTATAAAAAACGTAAAATTTGAAGTTAATGAATTTTCATAAATGAAATATAACTGAAGCCAAAACTAACAAGAAAATTATTTTCAAAAAAAAAAAAAAAAGCTCATATTAAGCGCAGCTGTATCGATTAGTTTGGATCAGTCATGTAATTAAATTTGTAATAAATGTAGATTAACACTAATAAATCTGTGCTATAAGAAATATTCTTTGCTTAGCGTAATTTCATGCTTTTAGCTTTCCCAAAACTTTTATAAGACAAGAGTTGGTTGATATAAGCTTTGTAACAATTCTTACGAACGAAGCCAGACATGCTTAACAAGCATCTCTCGGTAAGTGAATGTGTTTTAGATGTTTTGTTTTTATGCACGTATTTTTTATATAATTTTAAGACAAGATATGCGATAGTTAGGCCTATAACCAAAAAGCCAGCCTCATGTTCGTGAGGCTAAAAAAACAACAACTGCCTTTTAACCTACATTGCTTACCAAAACAGCGTAGCTACTGAAGCGACCTACGGGTTTGAGTGAAAACACAAAACTCCGTTTGTTTAAGTGTTACGCTTTCTCTTTGATTTTCAAGGAAGTCATCGGATCAGTAAAAGCAACCTGTCTAAAACATTGGCTTTTTATGGGAAAAAAATCAATGAACATTAAGTCTATATTAAGAGTGGATTACGTTCAAGTAGGAAAGGCACAAAAGAGCGAGAAAGATACAATAAATCTTTAAATGCAAGCATCCGTTTCAATAAATTACAGGCAAGCAAATGTCAAATATATTATATCTAGTTATCTAGTATTTAATTAAATACTCAGAAAGACACAAAGATAGAGGCACATTCCTCATCCCATATGCTAGGACTAATTTGTACAAATACTCCTTTTTCCCTAGTGCTATTAGAGCATGGAATAATTGCCTGAGCTAGCCAGGAAAACCAGTGACTTGGCAGAATTTAAGTCATTGGTTAATATGCATGACTGAATGCATGACGCGTACGACGTAATCATCTTCTTTTTTGAAGTAACATCTGTATTATATAAGATAAGATAAGTTACTATTGATTTAGATCTATTATAATGAAAGAATTAGATGTATGTATGCAAAGGTATGTCAGAATTGGGAGAAAAGGGAGGATGAAAAAAAACAGACATTTTATGTCTATGTACAGGCCAGCGGAATATGTTTTATTGTTCATTGTTGACATGTTGTCTTGATCTACACTGGGTAATATGAGACAGACTAGTCACTAGACTTTTTTTTACTTTTGGTAAAAACAACCCCCCATCCCAAAAACTATATCATATATACATATATATATATATATATGTATGTGTGTGTGTATGTATATATATGTATGTATGTATGTGTGTGTGTGTGAGAGAGAGAGAGAGAGAGAGAGAGAAAAGACTAGGATTTTCGTTTTCGGTACCAGGCGTTGGCTGGGGAAAAGTAAATGCGGTTGGTCGTTGTGCTGGCCACATAACACCCTCGATAACCGCGAGCCACAGACAGATGACCTTTACACTATCTACCCTATAGATCTGAAAGCGTATATTTAATCAAATTATATTCATTTTGAATGGCATAACAGTGTGGCTAATGACAAAAAAAACAACAACACATTTTAATATTAATTGCGATATGCCACACAAGTAACTTTTTTACTAATTCAACTTTTTGGTTTCATCTTTTAATTATTTATTAAAAGCCCCCGTTATAGAGATTATGAGAATTGTGCATGTAAGCATTGTACAAATGAGCTAGCATTTTTATATGTCAACATTCTGGCAGGCAAAAAGGAAGAGACCCCTTAATACTGTGAAGAGACGAAAGCTGAGCTCGTTTGGTCATATCATATCTCTCTATCAGAAGTCATTCTTCAAAGAATAGTGACGGAAGCACGAAAAAAGGGGCGTCCAAAGAAAACATAAAAGAATGGACCTGTCTCTCTCTTAATATCCTGCTAAGAACAGCTGCTGACCGGGAAAACTGGAGGGATTTGGTTACTCGAACTGTCACAGCACCCCTACGACGAAAGTCAAGGGACAGATGATGATGATGAAACATTGTTGTGTTTCTAAGTCAAAACCTAGATCTACAAACCTGTTATTGAGCATAACATAAATTGCCATAAATTAATACACAGACATATATATATATATATATATATATATATATATATATATATATATATATATATATATATATATATATATATTAACTATTATTTCAAACGGCATATAACAGTCCTAGCTACTATAATTAATTACGTAGTTTTCCTAATGTTCAGACCAGCTATTGCAGCTGTGTGTTTGCTGGATTAATCATTGTAGGCCTACTAGTAGGCTATTATAATTAAGAGCAACAAAAACAACAAAACTATTAAATACATACAGTGTTATGATCTATATTTAGCTGTAGACAAGTTAGTCAATTCTAAAGATCTAGAATCTGCTAGATCTAGATATATATCTAGGTCACCCTAGGCGGCCTAGGCCTAGGTTTCATGTAGCCTAAATCGCCAAAGCAGTGTAAACAGTTCGAGTTGTCAGTCTGATTTTAGACCGAGATATAGATCTAAATAATAGAGGGTAGATCGAGTTGAATCCCAAAAACTTACCAGCTCCGATGGGGGTCTTGAAGGCGGTCTGCTAATCTGACTTTGACTTAGCGTTTGATGACTGCTACGGTGACTGTTGTAGTTATTTAACGTTCCTCGGCTCATTTCACTGAAAAGGTTGTAGTGTTACAGTATCAGAAGAGAAAAACGCGATCAATCCAATATATGAACAACATTTATTATATCATTTACAAAAATATAAACTGTTCCAAATCAATAACACGTTTTTAGATATCTACATCTCAAAAGGTTTCAGGCCTTACGCGGTTTCCAGGTAGTGTTCTGCTTGTTGTGATGGAATCACGTGACGACGCACTTGACTCAGGGGAAGCCACTCAATATCATAGTGCTCTGTGTGCGTGATGAAAGTGTAGTGTAGCTTCCCTTTACGGTTTGTTCTCATAAATAATAAATAAGATAAAAACAGAAACATTCTTCACAAGAAGATCGAAGATTCGAGACAACAGAATTTTAAATTTAACAATGTAGGCTCTAGTTGTTTTTTTTAAATTACTAATTTTGCATCTGTGTGGGCCTACTGCTACAACACAAGGTATTGTTACTGAGCTGGCTAAGTGAAATTGAAATCTGTCCAGTCTATAATACTTAATAGGTCTAGATATGTCATCGCGCACATTACTTTGTTTGATATTCTTATTTTATCTTTTATAATACAGACGTTACTTTAAAAAAGAAGATGATTACGTCCTACGCGTCATGCATTCAGTCATGCAAATTAACCAATGACTTAAATTCTGCCAAGTCACTGGTTTGCCTAATTATGTTTATTATAAATAGTAGCCATTAGTGGGCACTGAAAGTCTATGTATTGTGTTAAAAAGAAATTGGTTAAAAGATCTAAGGACATATGTAGACGGCGAAAAGAACTTTCCTAATTGACAACCGGCTGACAATGGTTATGCCTGTGTTGATTGTGGCAACGTATGTAGGTCACCGCTGGGTCTGCGTAGCCAAGAGAAATATTGCATTCCTCATTAATCTTCGGACTCGAAGACAAGCCTTATTATTTCATTTCTAGTGCAATGGGATTTATGGAAAACATATTTAAGAAATTTAAAATATGTCATACAAAAATAAAACATTGTGACAGGAAGTGCAGCAGTTTCATGTAGGCATCATTAACTCATTATTTCTAAGTAAATGCACATATTTTAATTTCTCTAGTCGTAGACTATGAGAGGTGTGAATTTAATTAACTTCA